ATGTCCTCTGAGGTGTCCCGATCTACTGGGAAGAAAAAGAGAGAATAAGATGGGTCCAAAATCATTTCTTAGTATTCTATAAATCGAAATAAGATCTCCCTATAGTCTGCGATAAGACGGTGTAAAGAGGTCCAGCCTATCAAGCCGTTCTTTGTATGGTTAACCCCGGAGTTCTGGAGTTCCACGGGCAGCTGCCCTCTCTCCTTCTTCCAAGATATCCGAGTCAACAATAGCTTGCAGTCGGAATGCAGTTCTCAAGCTTAGTTTCCACAAAGGTTGTGTATACTGTGGTGAACATGGTAGTATCTAGCTTAGTGAACGTCCGTCTTAAAGCTGTAGCGGTATATAAATCAACAAAATAAATAGCTCTGTAAGTTTTCGACATTGGATGCTGACCACATGTTTTAGTGGACTCACCTAGCTGAAGGCGCTCGGTCATGCATCCGCACCAGATTACGAGTGGAAACGCCGTGCTCAACATCTACTGCAATCGCTAGCCAGATTAGATCAGACGATTCTCGATATATGGATGGTCATCAAATATATCTTCCAGTCTCCTCGATTCTATCTTTTGATTTCTGTTGGCGTTACTGGTTAAAGCGTTGTCAAACACTGAATACCTGTGCCATCTTCATTGGTGAGCCTAACGTGACCTGGTACACAAAATCATAAACTGTGAGTCTGTTCTTTTTTGGGATTCTATATATCATTGCCTTATCTTAATTTTTAATACAATGTGATATTTTTCCGTGTTTTTGGATATATATTTTTCCCCGTCCATTCTCGTACTTCATATTTCATTGTGAGTGAACAGACACCCAAACTACTTAATCTTAAGACTTTTCCCCTACCTTCGTTTTAACTGATGTCCTTCTGGCCAGACAACATCGAAGCCTGGTTTGGCTACGCAGAAGCCGACTTCTTCGAGCACGGCGTTGTCGACACACGTGAACAATTCCTCGCAGTAGTCAAGGCACTACCGCGTGAATTCAAAAGGTACGTTACACCTAGTATGTTAACTAGTGATGGTTCTGAACCCTACGAAACACTGAAACGTTCTATTCTTTAATGAGGAGACCTAACCGATAGAAAAAGGTTAGACCAACTCCTCAATAACATCAACCTGGTACACGGTTCTGCGACGGACATGTTGCAACGAATGAGAGAGGTTATCGGCTAAAGAACCTTCGATGATTGCCTATTTAAGCAACTTTTCTTATCCAAACTTCCTCATCAGGTGCAAGCTGTGCTTGTCTCATTTCAAAACAACGCCTTAAACGAGCTAGCTGCATCTGCCAACCGCATTTTAGAAGTCACGAAATCTAACGTCGAGGTTTTTTCAGTCAAAAAAAGCCTCAAACAACCCAGAATGACATAACAGAGTTATATCATACACTTACGCGTTGTCTTAAATTTCGTAACGAGCGTAAGCGATCACACACCCCACATAGAAGCACTTCACGTAAGCGATCTGCCTCTAAACCACGATAGACAGATAACCCCGACTGGTGCTGGTATCATAACCAGTATGGAGAGTCTGTAGTGGCATTGGACAATAGTCACACAATCCACAAAGCTGTGAACATGAGACTACTCAGAAAATAGATATTCAATATTTAACGCGGAGAAATACTTAACAATGAAGAAGGCGCGAACAATGAATTGAATTGACTGGAGTTGATCGAGTGGAATTGCTCGGCCATGCAGGCGTGGTCTCTGCCGAATGTTTCCTTATATCTTCTATTCATATTAAATATATTGTTCCTTCTCTAGCCTAACCTTGTTCTACATCATGTATTGGTAATTGATGCGATACAGTGAGTTGGTGTAGTCGATGGTGTGACTTCCACGTAAGATCTTATAGATTAGGCAGTTATATCATGACAAATCTACAAATTTAGGATTAGGTCTATTATTAGAGCAGTACTAATATCATAGTAGACCATAGTTCTACAGGTCTTCCAGGAATCGCAGAAAACCGTGCAATTTTCCCAACTAAAAACTCACCGACTCAGGAAACTTTCAAGCCGGCTTGCGTTAACGGCAACAATAGCCGGCGAACATAGCCGTCTGTTGTACGTCACAGATGTGACAACAAGAGTTCGCTACCTCGTCGATACTGCCGCAGAAGTTAGCGTTCTCCCAGGGAATTCTAACGACCGGCTTCACGAATCGGTTTTAGACTTACTGGCAGCAAACAGAAAGCCTATTGCTACGTATGGCAAGAGGTACGTTTACCTTAACGTGGGTTTACGCAGACCCATTCACTGGATCTTTACTGTTGCAGATGTTTCTATGCCAATCATTGGTATAGACCTTCTACAACACTATAATCTACTCATCGATACGCGCAAACGGAGGCTAGTAGACGGAAACACTAATTTATCCGTTTGCGTAACTTCTTTTTCTGGTTGCAGATTATCTTCAGCCTACAGGGTTCTAGACATCTCAGCTGCAACTTCCAGGCAGTGGGCTGTGGTCCTAAGATCATGACTCAATCTCACTCCAAGATCATTGTTAGACCGGACCATGGGTACAGCCACTTCTCCTATGTTGTACCTATTAACCTTTGTATCCTCAAGGTTCATGTAGACACACTTTTCCTCGTTGATAGGCATCAGCCACTTTTTAGACAAGTGAATCATAATATTTAAGTCTGCCTGAAGAGCACATGTGTCTGTGTCACCAGTTATTACTCGCCCGATTTTTGCATCGTCAGCGTGTAATAACATTGGGGACTGTACTATACTTGGGAGTTCATTTGCACAGTATAAAAAGTAAAGGGCTTAGGATGGAACCTTGAGGTACTCCACTAAGTACTGGTCTCCAGATGGAGCACTTCTAATTTATTCTTACGTTCTGTCTACGACCGACTAGTAAATCCTTAAGCCATTTTAAACGAGGTCCAGCAGTACCAAGATTTTCCTACTTCAGTAGTAGTCTATTAGTTGGCACCTTTTCAAAAGCCTTACTGATGTCTATGTAGACAACATCCACTGAGTTTCCGTTGTCTAGCGCCTTTATCCAAAATTCCTTTGCTATAAGGAGGTTCGTTGTACAAGATTGACCCTTTCTAAAACCATGTTGTTTTACGTTCAGCAAGTTTAACAAATTATTGGTTTCAACAAATGTAACTAAGGTCTTCTTGACTAGTTCCGGTACCTTACCTATGACAACAGAGAGGCTGACAAGTCCGCAGTTTTATGGAATTTTTCTTGATCCTGTTATATGTATGGGAGTGACGATTGCATGCTTCCAGTCCGTAGGTAACTTGTAGTGGCATTGAGCCCTAATACTAGACAATGTGGGAAACAGACATTCAACACTTAACACGAAGAAAAACACAACGATGAAGAGGGCTGGAAGAAAGATTCTAAAGAATTGGGGTTGAGCGGATGGCATGCGGGCGTGGCCGCTGCTGAATGTTACCTTATATCTTTTATTCATAATAAATATATTGTCTTATCTCCAGCCTAAGCTTATTCTCCATCATGTATTGGTAATTGTTACGATGAAGTGAGTTGGTGTAGACGATGATGTGACTTCCATGTAAGATCTTATAGATTAGGTAGTTATATCATGACGAACCTACAATTATGGGATTAGGTCTATTATTGGAGCAGTACTAATATCATAGTAGACCATAATTCCACAAGGTCACACTTTTTACAACCACAATAGGGTTACGTGTTGTCTCACTTTGGGACTTGAGCGGAGTATTATGTGATCCAGAGAATGTACCTACAAAAGACTTTCTAACCATATGGGCGCTATTTGTTGTTATTTTTCTTTCTCATTATTTCCGTATTATCGTCCATTTCTCCTCAGTCATATCAGCCACATCGAAACTATTTGGATTGTTGACGGTTTTATCTAGGTCTTAAGGTAATACTGTGGGACTGTGACCGGCAATATCCAGTAATATTTCACCTTTTATTTGTCTCAAAGCAGATTTCACTTTTGTCAGTTTCGTAGTTAGGTGTTTGACACATCTTGTAACAGCACGTACTACACTGGGACATTCTTCATTTTCAGTTCATTACCAGTTCATTCCTCATCAAATTTCACTCTGGTCAACGTCAGAAGGCCTAAAGATGCCACAGTTATCAGGAGTTTGACAACGCCTCTGCACTTAACACTTATAATTGAAGTATGTCAACCCAGTCAAATCGGAAGTTAGAAGTGAAGGGGTTTGAAGATATATTTGGAATACCATCGATGTCCTGAGAAGCGTTTGGTGTAAGCTGGCCAGCAGTTGTAAGGGTTGTGTAGCACGATGTACCTACTCGTGATTTTGTGAGGATGCGTAACCTAGCGCCCTCAGCCAGATGTGTCCGCTAGAAATAATGTGTTTAGCACCAAATGTCGAAAACTTACAGAACTATGTATTTTGGGGATGCATTTACCGCTACAGGCTAGTTCCTTTTTGGGGCAGTAATGTCTTCGTAGAACAGCAAAAAAACAGGCAATGAGAGTTAGATTCCGAAAATGTTTTTATGCGGTGGGATATAAAGTAGTACACATCTTGTAGAACCGTGTTTTGAACTCATCTCATTGCCTTCCTTCCTCCATAGGGAAGAAGCAACTTGGCTGTCCACATTTATAGGTAGAGCCGACCATTTTAAACAGGATATAATGGAAAAGCATCAACAAAATGCACAAGGTAATCATTGGCATGATAATCAACAAAAAAGGATAACATAAAACAAATTTGAAGAAAATTTCAAACTTCAACGGAAACAGTTCAAGCTAAACTCGACCAGGTATGCTTGTAATTCAATAAGTACATGAAATCAAAGTTAATTCACAAGGAGAATGAAATTAATGCACTTAAGAACATTTAAACATTTTCGAGCTATTATTATTTATTGTTAATTCAAGAATTTCCAAAGTCCATCGCGCATTAAACAAGATGAATTTTTGAGAGTGTTTTTCTCTTCCGAAGTTCCCTCAAATTTAACGCGCCAATTTCAGGGAGATTGTCTATTGCATAGACAAGCATGGGAGCCTATATGTCTAAACCGAAAACAGAGAAAATCTCTGAAGATGGAGCGAATCAATGGATATCTTATAGCTCCTGTTCTATGCAGGGTTGGAGAATGCATCAGGAGGTATGAAGTACACGTGGATCACTATAAACCTCAACTTAGACATTTCATGTTTTGTGAATGTTAACCCCTAAGTTTGGATTTTTTCCAACGATCGTGTATTGCCTAAGGCCTCCCACACTTTTATTAGTGTTGCATGTTGCTCAGGTTATAACGTTATATTCTGAGACGTGTACACGTCTCACTTACAGATGTGGTTTGAACTTTGTGTTCACCTTTATCACCTAGCGTCTCAATATGTATTTTACTTTTCAAAAGTATAGGTGACCTTCTACTGGCTTATCGCATCTTAAAGACTCCAAGACATTGCCTCAAATACCTAGATAAGCACAGTCCTAACACAAACCATATGATTAACACCCAGAAGTTAGAGATAGCATAGCAGAATGATTTGTAGGCACACATTCTGCTATTCACGAGTGGTCAAAATCTAGAATTCATTGCTAGTTGAGGTAGCCGAAAAGAATTTCCAACAGTCTTTCGAAAAAAATGACATACTTAAAGGCTCAATGATATCAGTATACTTTACCAATATTTTTCCTTTTATTGTTGAATATACCAAGAATCATACCTGAAGGCCTTGGTGATCCACTATTACTAGATACAAAAGCCAATTAAGCGAGAGCTTCTATTCTATCCAGATTCAGTTGAATTGAAATTGATTAGCTTTCAGCTTACTGGTAGTTCATCTTATGTCAATGTTATTTTTATTGTGGTTTTAGGTGGAATATACGGGGTTAGTGTGTGTTTGTTCTAGGTCTCATTCGAATGATCCTTGTTTGTCCATTCATTTGCAGAACTCCCTCGGGAAACCTATTTTGAATGATATCTTGACCGTCTGGTCTCGCCACAGAATATCTGTCGGTTGTAAATTTTAGTAGTGAGACTATCATTTATTAGTGACGTTTGAGCGATGTTATAATGACCTCAATAAAATTCAACCAATTACTCCGAGTTGAAAGCTATATGTCAATGTGAGGAGATAGAATTAGGACTCAGACAATATGGGATTAGTAATTAGCATTTTCTTTACAGAATATGGTCATCTGTGACGACTAAATGCTTTTTAACTATGATGATTCACTCGTGCTCCGAAATTCAGAACTTGAATTCATAAATCTCGTTGGTTTCTACCATAAGTCGTAGTCTCTCCGAACAAGACATGGCATCTGAAAATAATGCTTTTGACTGGTGCTCTAAGTCATCCTATTAAGTGTAAACCTCTTCGTTAAATCCTGGGAATTATCTTTAGTGACTGAATATCTCGACCGGTGTTATTTAAAGTCATTCACAGTGGCGTAGTTGTTTTTACTCATGACCATATGAATATTAACTTATATGTAATTCTTAATTTCCCATTTTATACTCGTCATGGACTAAATTTGTTTCTTATTCTGGGTTTTACTCATAATAAGTCCATGTATTAGGAATACTGGAATTGTACTGGGGAAATCGGGGAATAAGGTTATGATTCTTTATCGACCAAGTTAACTGACACATGTGTTGTTATGTATGCCCAAATCGCCTACCTCGACATATAATCTTGACTTCAGGGTAAATAAAACTAGAAATGAACAGGCCGAGATGTAGCATCAGTCTATGAAGTCATAGATTCTTAGTTTTATGTATGCTAATAAGTATATATCACTTGGTTGGACTCTGCGCTGTTAGTCTACTGTTGTATGACTGCTCAAACTCAGTCACGATGACACATACATTCTTTATTTTCTAGATCTTAAGTTCCAATATTCCTTCATATATATGTTCCCACTACATCTCCCTGAACTGTATATTAATCATTTATTCTTCCTCACCTTATTTCTATTACAATTTTATTTCATCATGTAATAATATTATTATTTGAACGTAAATATTGGTACGAAGCAGCACCGAATACATATGCGCCACACAAGTCATTTGATACTACCTGGGTGCTCAGAGCAGTCAGTCAGTCAGCTACAACGTAGGACCAGGTACATTTATGCATCGGTCCAAGTTGCCATACCTCATTAACACAACAAGATGGACACCAAATTCATAAAAGTGCTTAGAGCAAAGCAGGTTGTTTTCTTAGGGGGCCACACCGAGTCTTTGAAATAAAGGTCTATTCCATAAGGCAGTGGAGCAACTTTAGGAGATCCAGTCCTATGGTAGCCAATGATCAACAATTAGTTCATACGCCTTTTGTTCATTCAGGACCCTGAAGTTCATATGCATCATTGGTTTGGAATTGTGTTTTTCCAACTCCACTACGTGGACTCGACGTTTCCACCAACCCGGTTAAAGCACCGGACATTAACTTTTCGTCCCCGCCAAGAGGAGGCAGTGAGTAGGACCTCCATGTCAGTGGTTGTATACACGTGGCCATGTGAGAGCATTTTGAGAGGAAGAGCTGACTCAGCCGTACCAGGGCATTTGGGGGCTTCATGATGTAATGGCATTGTAGCAGGCCAACTCATGTGTGCCAAGTCCTATATTGGTTATGAGTGACTCACATTACGCTTATCTCATCCATGTTTGATTTATGTGTTGGGCAACTTTACAATTACCATTAATGGAATGCGACTTGTTAACCACTCAGTGATTAATGTACCTAGTTTCGAGTCTCATAATACTACTCGGAAAACTGTAGTGTTTCATGTGTAGTAGTCTGCCTATACTAATCTTACTGTTCATATTTTTTGAATAACCACATCCAATTTTGATCCCAGCAATTGCTTAAAAATGTTGTTGCATATTTTGATAAACTGCCAAAGCATTTACTAAATCAATAAATTTGATGTTCATCAGACTTGCTTCCGTTTTTCAAGTAACTCCTAGACTAAGCTGCTAGGATAGGTACTGCATTTATCGATATCTGTCAAGTGAGATAAAGAAATTTTACAACCCCCAAATGCCCTGGTACGGCCGAGAGTGGGCAGAGTCAATCCTCCTCTAAGTTCTCTCACATGGCCACGTGTATACAACCACTGACATGGAGGTCCTACTCACTGCCTCCTCTCGACGGGGGTGTCGTTTACGAAATTGAGGGGACGAAAAGTTAATGTCTGGCACTTTAACCGGGTTGGTGGATATGGAAGAGTTGGGAAACCATGACTCCAAAGGCTCCGGGTGTGACCTCCTAAGGAAACCACCTGCTGCGGTCTGGGTGCCCGGGAAGTATCCTAGCCTTCACACAAATCGAACGATTTATGTGGCGTATATCTGTTTGGTGCCTCCTTGTATCAATGTTTATGTGTTTAAATAAATAAATGAAGAGGAGCTATCGTTCATGCCCATCTAATTTTCTATTGTTGGTTTTGGGGTTTTAAACTGTTTTTTTTTCATTGTCACCAATCAGTAAAAGTATTGTGCCATGAATCTCGAAAACTCATCCCCTCCGGCTCAGAACACGATGAAGGGCGAAGTCAACCTAAATATAGGTTGGTAAAATGCCTACGTGATGATCATGAGCACAGATATATAGCGAAAGCAGTAGAGATGGAAAAGATAACAGTGATAGGTAACAGTAGACAACTGTTCAGACTTATCAATGGAACGGGTATTAAGAATCTGACTGTTAGTGAGACTGAGAAAAAAGGAAATATTAATCACTCTAAATGTAAAAGATTGTATGGATTGGCAAAACACTAGGGAACAGTTCAACTGGCACTCAGCCACACTACAGTTACTCACCATCTCTAAGCAATCTGAATGGGAAATTGAAATAAGTTTTTCAACTCATTGGGAGTGTAAAGAATATATGCGATATCAGGCAATGAAGAGCAGTAGTTTGATAAACTAACTCTGATGCTGGGAGAACCAGGCTAGTTTCAGATCTAGACGTGAATGTATAGAACAAATATTCAGCCTTCGGCAGGTTCTAGAACATCGACGACATGAGTTGTTTTCATCGACATTAAGGTAGCATTCGACTGTTGATCGTGAGATTCTGTGGCAGTGTTTGTCACTCAAAGGCGTACTAATGAGATACATTATCCTTGTACAGGCTGTACTCTACTTAAACACTACTGGTCGAATCAGATCTTCTGGGGGACACAGTCGTCGGAATCAGTCACTGTAAGTGGTGTTCATCGGGGCTGTCCTCCTCTATTCTTATTTAACGTTGTCATATACATGCTTTTAGTGACAACGCTTTATTCGTCTGACCTTTCATTAGAAGATTCACTTGTTGATTTAGATTACATGGATCATGTAGTTCTGTTTGGTGAAGACGGTGACAAAATGCAGTCTTTTGACCACCTTAAGGAACAATGGAAATATGTTTGGGATGTGATTGTCTTCTTCCAAATGCAAAATGGTGCTTTAGTACTGGGTCACGGCGTTTAAATTGATGATAGAGAGTGAAGTAGTTGGACGCATCAACTGCTTCACTTATTTCAACAGTCTCATCAATCCTGATGGTTGAGTGTTTGACAAAATCTCGACACGAATTCAGAATTCTTGGTTTAGCAGTAGAGTGAGAGAATGGCAAATCGATTGGTAAGCTGGTGAGTCCTCATCAACTGAGGTAGTTAGGACATGTGTTGCGTATGCCCAACCACCGCTTACCCCGACGGACGATGTTGTTAGTTGTAGGCATCGAATGGAAATAAACTAGGGACGGCCAAACCAAAACATGGCATCAGTTCATGAAGTCATTCACAGTTAGACTTAACCATGTGTTTAGGTGTAAACTACCTGGTTGTGGTCCCTGTGATTATCATAACTAATGGTTAAAGACTTTGAATGACACGACTCGAAATCGTTTGCAATGGTGTAGGTGCATTTATTCTTTATCTTCCCCCAAATTCTTCATACCCTTTTTTATTTTAGTACACTTATGTTTTCTCTTCGAGTTGTATTTTAAATGCCTAATCTTTCTCATTGACATTGATACTGTTACTACTTTTACTATTCTGAGTTTTGGCCTGACAACTTTATCTCTGTATTAATGAAGTATGGCAACTTGAACCAATGTACATACGTACAGGTTTCACGTTGTAACTGACTGAGTGCCATGAATGAGTGATATAAATTTTGTGACTTATTTTGAGTTAGCCACTGTGTTCACTCGATAAAATTACATCTGCTCCTTTACATTTTGGAGTGTCATTCCATTATGTTACTGTTGTGACTTTTTTGAATTTCAGAGCTATTTTCGTCGTTTCAGGATATATGTGTTACACTTTTTATTTAATTGTACTAGTCATGTACTTCCAAATTGTTTATTGATTTATGCTTCTAGGATGCTCACAACTGCATACCTAATTTCGATGCATCACGAGGTATTTCCTTCTTTGCGGTTTATGATGGCCACGGTGGATCAGAAGTGGCACGATATTGTGCAGAATACATGCCTGATTTCCTAATGAAACTTCCTTCTTATAATAAATTGGATATGAAGGAAACCTTAAAGCAGTTATTCCTTGATTTCGACGCTACATTAGTAACTCCTGAAACTAGAACTGTTTTAAGTAAAATGTCAGAGACAGACAGAGCCGATAGTTCATCAGAAAAGGAGTCACCTGCTCAAGTCCATTATGTAAGCTCATGAATTTATCTCATAATTGAAAATATAGGCTGCTGATATTGATGGTGATGATGATAATGATGGAGAGGAAGATGAAAATTATTCAGAACTTCTGGCTTTGCGTGCTGAAGCAAACCAACCTTTAGAGGATGTTTTAGAACAGTATGGAGGAGAGGATGCTTTACCTTCGAGCATTAAGGTAAGATTTAACTGCTGAAGTAGACAATCTTTACGTACATTATATATATATTTAAACACATACATTGGTACAAGGAGGCAACAAATAGATATGTGCTTCATAGATCATTCGATTTGTGTGAGGACTGGGATACTGCCCGGGTGCCCAAACCGAAGCAGGTGATTTTCTTAGGAGGCCACACTCGGAGCCTTCGACCTAAAGGTCTGACCCACAAGGCAGTGGAGCAACGTCAGGAAATGCAGTCTCATGGTAGCCAATGACCAACGATTGGTTCATATGTCATTTGTTCCTTCATAATCCTGGAGCCTTTGTGCACCATTGGTTTGTAATCAAGGTTTTCCAACTCCATTAGGTGGACTCTCCGTGTCCACCAACTCGGTTAAAGCGCCGGACATCCGCTCTTCCTCCTCTCAATTTCGTAAACAACACCGGTGCCACGAGAAGGCAATGAGTAAGACTTCCCTGGCGGTAACTGTATACGCGTGGCCATGTGAGAGTATTTGGAGATGGAGAGCTGACTCTCCCCACCCTCAGCCGTACTACGGTATTTGGGGGTATATATATATATATATATATATGCTCATTCGAACGTCTGTTAAAGGCTTTTCACTTGGTAATTAGTTTGCAAATTAAACCAAATTTATTGCTCAAGAATATTCTCTGCATTAATACTTTTCCTTTCAAAAAATACCATAGACTATCCTGGATACCCGACGTCAACAAAAAGTTGGTGAATGTAGTCGTAATTCAAGTAAATCGTCGAAAAGTGTATCAGAAGACAGTGATTCAGAGTTAGACAAAACAACAGATTCTTCTTGCACTAAAATATCCAATACTACTGCTGCCAATCCTGTTGAGTATGTCTGTTTTTCTTTTTCACATCAATTTTGTATCCTATTAGTTCACAGTTATGCAGGTTTTTTTTTGCAATTCTATTCTAGAAACAGTCAATTATTACAGTATGATTCTGCTTGTAAAATCTTGACTGTAGGTTAATGTGTTGGTTTTATCCACGTATACCTATACAGTAGTATAAGCACTATTTATTGAGTACGTTATTGGATGGATTTCAAATCATATTTAACTATTTATTACTTTAAAATTGACATTTCCCATATTTCATAGTCAATCAGTTCAGTGTTTTATTTATTCTGTTATATTTTTCAGTATCCAAGGATTCTAGGGAAAGCTTCCGCTCACTTAAATAAAGTTTCTTCCAACCTGGAAAGGATTTATTGTTAGGTTTGCTCACAAATAGTATTTATACAGTCGTTGGTTAAGGTTTTGATTGAAGTGACTTAAGATGACGTACTAAAGTGCATTTGATTAAAGTTATATTTCGGTTTGGGATTGTGGAGATTGTTGGATTTCATTAAAATCATGAGCCGATCAATGTTAGACCACTGTTTAAGACCTGAAAGGATTAGATAGCCGTTTCGTTTTAATAAATTTTTATCGGATTCATCGTTTACATTGTTTTCTTTAATAAATTATATTTTCTGTATTGTTTCGAGTACATATTTCGTAATATAACATATCAGTTTTACTACTTAAATAAAAATAAGTAACTAATCGTTTTTTTCGTAATTTTTACTTTATACTCTTCCCGATGTCAGAACTGTTGAACAAGGAGACTTATGTAAGTTTCATTATCTTCTAGTTACTAATTAATGTTTTACATTCAGTATATATATATACGCTAGTTGCAGACGTTCAGTGAATAGCTGAGAGTAAATTATTTGTGCTGTCATAAGATGTATTCACTTCTGCTTGTTACTCTCTCTACGATGGAGTCTACACTCCATCGTTTTCTTCGAAATGTTCAATACTCGTTATTTCGGCTTTAAATCCGGCTAGTTATCACGGAATTTATTTTCCAATCGAAATATGGCTTATTCACTCTTGTACTGTGCTAAGCCAATGACATTCGACCGATCTGAGCAGCCTAGCGGCCTTATTAGTCCTTTGTTCGACTAGCCCGTTCGAGTTCAGAATACCAATAACAGCTTCCGCTATGCGAATCATCTGTTTCAAACATACCTGGTTTATATACAAGCCAAAGAGACTACATCATACCATAAAATAGGGAGTAATTTTACAAGATCAAGTCAAAAAGTGGTTGTGATTATGGGAGACTGTAATTAATAAACTGGGCATAACTAGAGAATAGTAAATCGTACAGTAATAATCTATAGGTCGAAATGAAGCTTATAATAAGAGGAGTATAAATATACATGACCTAGTTACTGAATAGTTATACAATAGGTATATATATAAATAAATATAAAGCTATATATATATATATATATATTGGTCCATTAATAGGTCTCAGAAGTTACCCTTAATTTAATCTTCGCTAGGATATAACACTCGTTAACGTCAAAATTTATTCCCTTTCTTTTTGTTTTCAACCTGTACTCTTTTTGCATCAGTAATTTATAATTGTCGAAACAATAGTCTACATTCCCGTTATTACTTGAACATACTATCTGACAACTTGGATTGGTATACATATGAATGTCTGATTGGAAACGTCAACCGGATATATAGTCAGGTTTTTAAAATGATAAATAAGATATGATCGACTGATATTTATTTATTTATTTGAACACATAAATATTGGTACAAATTGGCTCTGAATACATATGCGTCACACAAGTCACTTGAGTTTTGTGTTTGTGTGTGTTGTAATACTGCCAGGGTGCGCAGACCGAAGCAGATCAACTGATAACCTATTAAAAAACTAAATTAATGTATTCATTCATTTGTCTGGTTTATTTACTTTGCTTATTAAAGTATAGAAAATTTCGGATGTTTTCATTAACATTTTATTGTTGTCATCGAGTGGTCTTTTTTATATCGTTTCCTTTTTACACTCATTCAGTCAGTAACAACGTAGAACTCCGAACGTTCGTACATCAGTTCGAGTTGCCATACCAAATTAGCACAGAGATGCAGTTGTCCATTCAAATCCCGTAGTGGTAGAACTAGTAAGAGTATAAGCAGTAACGTGAAAGTTTAGGGTTTGAAGATGTTATTCAAGGAGTATAATCTAGTGAAATAAATATGGAAAGAGAAAATGGACATGAAGAATTCGGAAGATTAGAATTTGGGAGAACACAAAGTGTGGATGCACCAGCGCGATTGCAAACAATTTTGAGCCATGTCATTCAAGGTCTCTAACCATCAGTTGCTGTTATCTCGCGGATCCCAACCAGGTAGTCTACACGTACGAACATGGCTCAAAGCACTTGTCAGTTACTTCGTGGATTTGTGCCATGTTTTGGTCTGTCCTCCTCCAGCTTCTTTCCAATCTACTCCTACACCATATATTATTGCACGTCGGGGCAGTCGATGTTTCAGCATACTCATCACATGTCCCAGCCATTTTAAATGATGAGGTTTCACTACTCCATCAATTGTTTTGCCATCCTTACCTAGTACTCATTTCCCAACAACCGCATTACTTACTCTGTGGTCAGAGGATATACGAGCAATGCTTTAAAGACACCTGTGATCGAATACTAGTAACCTATGGATATCCTCTACTCTTACCCGCCATGTCTCACTGCCATAAAGTAGGACAGAACGAACTACTGCGCAGTGACCGCTTTTAATTGGTAGACGGATATCTCGTGATTTGGCAAAAGCTAGTCGAGCTTTCTGTATCCGTGCTGAGATTTCGTCATACATCAGACCACAAGGGCTAATGAAAATCCCAAAATAAGTGAGGCGGTCGACACATTCAACTACTTCACTCCCCATCATCAATCCAGTTGTCGATGCAACCAAATTCTGAAGCAACATTTGCATTTCGAGGGGGAGAGTGGCATCCCGAACATGCTTGCATTGTTGCTTACGGTGGTCAGAAGACTCTGTATTTTGTCAGCATCTTCACCGAATAGAACTATATTATCGGCTACTTTTTACACTAAAGATAATCTATCAGTAAGTTGTCATAAACAGTTGAGTTTTGTTATTAAAAATAGGACAAAAGGCGAAACTAATTCAATAGATATGATAGAGAAATAACGAAAAAATTGTTTGTGCTTTACATACAGAAAAAAAGCTTTTCTTTCGCATTGGAATCCATGAGATTCGTCCGTTATTCCGGGACTGTGGTGTGAGCTACTTATATTGATATAAGTAGTATATAACGTGCGTTAAAAGAACGTAATGTCCGGCAGCAGAAGATAGCGAAGATCAAGAAAGGAAGAGCAAGAGCACAATGGAATTGTAAGAAAACGCATGTACAATGGAATGGGAGACAATGGATTAGTGTTTGCAACGGGAACAGTACAGTTTGATATGATGGAATGATATTTTGCAAATTGACGATTGACTTTATGGTATTCACATTTTATTGAGATAGTCTGTAATTTTGTGCTAAATACAATCGATTGTCCCCACCCGTGTTCTTCTTCACTACAGGACTAGTCAGTCACAGTCACATGATCTCCGTATTGTACTGTTGGGGAGCCCCATAATAGGACAAAATAATTTTGTGCTTTTCAGGTTTTCACTGATTGTTTTACTTCGAACAGTTTGTGGTCTCATTTGAATGTATTTGAGTTCAGAATATTATTATTATTATTATTATGACGATTTTGTATATTATTAAATCTTGCTCTTTTCTTAGCTTCTGAATCTAGTTGTAAAACAGACAGTACTTCTTTTTCTAACAATGATGAAAATACAAAGAAAGAGTTATCAAGTGGATCATTAGAAATGCCTACAGATACAAGTGTAAACAATTCTACAGTGGCCAATACAAAGAATGATGTTGATGATGAAAGCGACGATGAAAGTGAAGATTTTGATCCGTCAATTGAATTCGAAGATAGCGATGATGATGATGAAGAGGAAGATGAGGAGGAGGATGACGATGATGGAGAAGACGAAGAGGATGACGACGACGACGACGATGAACTGACTGGTTTTTCTATACCACGTTCTATAGCAGACACTGAAGAATCAGAACCTGGAATAGATAGTGGGACAACTGCATGTGTTGCTGTTCTTTTACCAGTCAATGGTGTTGTACGCTTGTATGTTGCTAATGCTGGCGATTCACGAGCTGTACTCTGTCGTGGTGGTGCTGCGGTCGACTTATCAAATGATCATAAACCTGAGGATGAAGATGAAAAAGCCCGAATTGTTGCAGCTGGTGGAACTGTAACACGTGATGGCCGAGTCAATGGTGGTCTTAATCTCAGTCGCGCTCTTGGTGATCATAGTTATAAGGTGAGATTGTGCATGGAAAAGTCATACTTTGACTTTAAGTGAGTGTTTTTACGATGATGGGGTGCACTCCGGACCCACGACTTACTAACTACGAGTTAAATGCTTCAACTATTAACTGACCCACAAAGTATGTTTTACTAATCAATTTAATCCCTTTGCTTTAAAGTGACGACCAAGTTTACCAACTAATATCTTGAATGTTCTGTTTTCAATCAGTGATTACATGTGGAATCTAAATCGCACAGTTTATTTCATTTCGAATCGTCCTTGAATTTTTCGACCATTTCTTTTGGTGTTCAGTGCCTGTTCTGCAATCGACGCCCATAACTTTCTACCTCAAGCGTCATTTGGTCATACTGATATATGTATTCGTTTGAGACTGCTACAGTTGCACACTACCCCTCTTCCTGTCCACCGTTATGTACCATCATATAACGACATGCAACCGCATAGTTTGTTTGTGGTCTATTCCGAGATGCGTACTCGCATGGTGTAACGGTGGCAGCCGATACCTGACTCTTCAATACGCTAATCCCAATGTTTTGTATCTATTAGATTTTATAATGTACCGATGGGAAATAAGATCAAAATAATTGTCAGAAAACATTTCTTATATATTTATCAAGGTTAGTGACCACTACTGTCTGGCACAAACCATGTTCCAAATAATTCGATTTGAAAAAGTCCATCTAGCTACTAGTCCTTGAAACTAAAGATCGACTCATAACCGATAAGTACTACTCAGCAAATGAATTACACATATATTTCGAATTATGTACAGTTAATCATAACACAATAACCGTCTTATTTCTTTTACAGCAAACTCCAAATATTCCATTAACAGATCAAATGATCACACCATCCCCAGATGTTACTGAAATAGATTTAATTCCATCAGCAGATGAATTTTTAGTCATTGCATGTGATGGAGTATGGAATTCAATGACAAGTCAAGAGGTTGTAGAATTTATTCAGGACCGTTTACATCCTCCTACTATAAACAATAGCAGTAGTGAAAACACTTCAAACAATCATTCGAATTCCGGTGCTGATGTCAGTAAAAATGGCAATGATCTTGATGAGGTCGGCAAATTGGATTCGTCTGATCAACTAACAAAAATATGTCATGAAGTAAGATAAGTATTTTTTTCAGATTTTGTACCTGAGAGGATTAGCAACTAATATCCCTCTTGCTCTGTACAAAAAGAGATGTAGTTTAGTTGACTGCATAAGTTGCTATTACAAGTTTGATGGTGTTGAACAGGTTTCTCGTTAGTAGTATATTCATACTTTATGTATGTACTATTTTTGTTTCAAATAATCAGTTCCAGATTTATACCTGCACTTCACAATTAGTTTGAACATCTGGGCGGTTTCAGTATCTACCAGTAAAATTGATGTTTGTTTTCCTTTTACTCACAGATTTTCGATCATTGTTTGGCGCCGAATACCGACGGTGACGGTACAGGCTGTGATAATATGACCTGTATTATAGTTCGTTTTGACAATCTTCCTGGTTGGGTTGAATATTACGAAAATAAAGGTAATGCATTAATTGATTCAACTATCATATCAACAGTCAACGCCAAAAACACATCGACGACAACAACACTATCACCAAGGAAACGACCAATCTCTCATGAAACCTCCGAGGATAGTAATCATGATGGTGAAACACTTATTACTATGAATGATACCAATGGAAATAATTCATCTCCTACCATTGATAGTCAGACGACTACAATAAAACGTCCAAAACTGGAATTACTCCAATCGGAGAATTCCTTGGAACCAACAATTGCAAATGGTAAAAGTAGCAGTGTTAACTATTAATGTTATTAATTTTATGAAATGAAAAATGCAGGAACCAATAACAAATGGCAGTTGCATTTTTCTTTGTGTTTTCGTAATTAACTTGTTTATAAACACAACACTATTATTATTACTATTATCATCATTCAGGCAATCAACTGCCAAAAATGACTAAGATTTGATCATTATCTACGTGTTTTTATTCTCACAATTATATTCGTTCCGTCCATTACAGGGTTATAGCATCCTTGGTGATCGCTCTTTTTTTTTTTTAAAATCCCTGTCATTGTTTGTTGTTTTTGACAGAAAATAAAAGAAATGAACATAGAGTGCATTTATCATTCACTATAAAATAATGAGAATAATCAATATACTACTGATAAAAGTAGTATATTCTCACATAAGCACACAAATAAATATATATGTGTATAAATCTAATTGTTTTATAAATCATAAATGGAATTGAGATCTTGTAACTTAGGTGTAATAGTGATAGTGACGTATTTATGTACTGCTACTAACTACTACTACCACCACCACCACTACTATGTTGTTCACCCTCCCTCTCTCATTCTATTCTTGTTCTATTTATTTACATTATGTTATCATCATGTGTTTTTTTTTAAATTAAAGAAATAATCTCATTAAATATGCAACAATTCATTGTTCTTCGTTCAATTCTATTATATAACCAGATGTAATTTAATCTTATTCACTTTGTAACTAAAATCATTCTACATTTGGGTTATTTTTCGTTCGCCACCCCCTCCCCCCTATCCAAACAAACAATGCTCAAATTGTTTTTGCATAAAGAAAAAAATTTTTTTATTACTCTGTATACATTTTTATGTACTTGCTTAATATAATTGTAAAAAAAAACATGAATACATGGACACAATAAGAATATCTTGATGTCTTTGTTTATATTAAAAAAACAAGAGGGGGGGGGAGTCCGTTTGTGAAAAAAAAAACGTCTTTCGCTTCGTCGGTTGGCTTGTTTTTTTCTGTTGTTGTTGTGCATACAGAATTTAAGTTGATCTAAAAATTTAGGCGAATCATTTTTTGTGATCCACAATTTTTCTGTTGATGTTTAATATTCGAATATTTCAATATATATATTAAGATTCCTAGCGGAGTTTTTGGTAGGAATGTCAAACTTTTAGAGAAAAAAAGGTGGATCACTCGAGTACTGTTAGCAGTATAAGGTGGTTGTCCCTTCCATGTTGCTTACATCTAGAAGGGACAGTTTTTGTTGAGGTACACGAAGAGAGGGATTTGGATAGTTTTGACGACTCGGGAGCGTGGTAACAGATCCCTAAGACTGGGTAGAAGCGTCTTTTCTTTTGGTTTTGCACGTGTTGGCTACGTATTTCAGTATGCGTCAGTGGGATAAGATGAAATGTGTTATACTTTATAACCTCCTTTAGTTGTCAAGGGTGAAATGTCACTGCAATCACAACCTTGTATAGTCAGCACTTACGGTTCGTTTATTTATTTACTTTAACACATAGATATTGGTACAAGGAGGCAACAAATACATATGTGCCACACAAATCTCATTCGATATGTGTGAGGGCTGTGATACTGCCCGAGTCCCCAAACCGAATCAGCTAGTCTCTGTAGGGGGCCACTCCCCGAACCTTCGACCTGAAGGTCTGATCCACAAGACAGTGGAGCACCGTGGGGTGATACAGTCCCATGGAAGCCGGTGACCAACGATTAGTTCATACGCCATTTGTTCCTTCAGGATACTAGAACCCATGGGCACCATTGGTTGAGAATCAGGTTAAAGGGCCAGATATTCGCTTTTCGTCCTCTCATTTTCGTAAACAACACCCCCGCCATGAGAAGGCAGTGAGTAGGACTTCCCTTGCAGAGGCTATATACGCGTGGCCATGTGAGAGCATTTCGAGAGGGAGAGCGGACTGTCCCCACTCGGCCGTACCAGAGCATTTGGGGGCTGAGTAGCTACAACTGACCAGCCTGGCATGATAGGACCTAAAAGAACAAGTATTTCAGATAACATAACTCAATCGGGTCATCATCACATACAAGCCCGAATAATGTAACACTTGCAAACACAGTTGAGTATTAAGTAAATACACTTAAATTGTTGCGTAACTAGCGTAAAGTCCACAATTTAAATGGTCTCATTATGTCCTCCATTCTAAATTCATATCAAAAGTTGACATTAAGTGGAAATGATAACTGATTTCCAGGAATATTTCAACATTCGAAAGATGGGACTGGAAAAAGACTCCTTATTTAATTATCCAGTTTAGCTTCCTATCACTAATCGACTCGATTACTTTTGCTACGACAATTGTCTGTGGTGTATGGAAAATGTAATTCAAACACGAAGTGTTAGGAGCTGTAATATATCAAGAACGTTAATCAACAGACCAAACCAGGAACGAAATAATGAACTATTATGTAAGTTATAATGTGTGTGGATAGATGTGACCATCGATCGTCGTATGAAATGATAAGAACACTTAAATCATTAATGAATTAAGGTAGATAAATATGAAAATGAAATTGTACATCTACCGCAAATTATTGTTGTATACTAACATGTACATGAATTCTTTGCGTATGCACCGTCCTATTGGGGACGTCGTAAGCTTAACATAGAACATGAAGAAACAGTGGTTATTTTCAATTATTTCTTTCACAGATTTAAATCATGAGTCAGTTGAAGCTAGACCACCATTGAAAACCTGGAAGCACTGGACAGCCGTTTCGTCCTAATATGGGACTCCTCAGCAGTGCGCATCCACGATCTCGCACCACGCGGGGTTCGAACCCAGGACCTACTGGCTTCGCGCGCGAGCACTTAACCATTAGACCACTGAGCCGGCATCCAACGGTGTTAATGTCTAACTTCAACCAATCCACGAAGTTGCGCCACCATATACCATTGTCTTCAGTGAGCTGATATCTCACAACAGACCTGGTTGAACTCCACTGGTAACGGCTTCCCACTAGAACTCCATGAGTATCTCTTGAAGTCAGTCACTAGTGACTGACTTGTGGAGATTTTAGAAATTTCACAGATTTAAATCATGAGTCAGTTGAAGCTAGACCACCATTGAAAACCTGGAAGCACTGGACGGCCATTTCGTCCCAGTATGGGACTCCCCAGCAGTATGCATCCATCAGTAGAGTCCAACTTGGTCTGTTGTGAGATAGTAAGTCGCTGATAACAGTGGCGCAACTAAGATGATTGGTTAAAGTTAGACGTTATTATTCTTCTGAACATGATAAGCATAACAAATAGAAGTGGAGTATTTGAATTTCTCCGCATATGACTAACTGCTCGTATGTGGACCTCGATCTTATTTTGTTATTGTTGACCTCTAACTCATTATTATCTGCCGCTTTATTTTGATCGTATTTATCTTTGATCTGATTCTTGGTCTTATATTTATCCATGGTTTATCTGAGAGGTTGATAGATTGGATCGATTGTGATGTTGTTGGGGAGATCCAGAAAACTCGAAAAAAGGCCAACAAAGGCTCTGAGAACGCGGGGAATCATCTTATCCAATTAGCATTCAATAGAAGTTTTGCCAGAAAAATTTAGAAAGTGAATTCACATGTCGAGTTTCTGATTGTATGATAATCAATACTGGTATTATGCTTAGTAGCGTCCCAGAATTTTCTGAAAACCCAAAGCCATCTAACATATTATAAATACCCTAGATTTTCTGTACATAAACGAACCTTAGAAGTAAAACGGTTCTTCCATTTTTCGCGCCTGTTTTTCTCGTGTTCAAATCTCTGTGTAGATCTAGTCTGGGGGTTACTCGGACAGCTTAGAAACCGAATCTGCGTTCATAAGACTTATCAGACGTGTTTGTTGATCGCCAAATGATTTGAGTGCTAAGCTTTTAAAAATTCTCTAGAGTTCTCAGCATCCCCTCTATCCAAAATTTCAGCATTTTTCCAGTTGAATGTGTACACAATTGCAGTGGATGCATCAACATTAGAAGCTTATTATTCATAATTTATATGCTAACAAAAGTATCACTTTAGAATGATGAAGTTAGTTAGATTAATTATTTTACAGTCAGTCAGTCAGCTACAACGTAGGACCAGGCACATATGTGCATCGGTCCAGGTTGCCATACCTCATTAGCACAGCAAGATGAACAGCGGATTCATAGGAGTGGTTAGGTCAAAGGTTGCAATAAGGATATAGTATAGGAAGAAAGAATTAGTTCGTAGACAGAAAGAATGAAGTGATTTTAGTCTCTCTAACAGCACTCAAGACCAATTATTTTACAGTAGCTCTTTTTTGTTACTTGGTATAATTCAAATATTAACTGTATACTCTATTGAATATTTAGACTGAAGAAGTGTTCCATCTTAATAGTTCAGATTATGATATCATATAAGCCAAGTACTCCTGTTGTCTTGTAATCTATGTAGGTTACACAAATAGTCTGATTACAGCATATACATATATTCCTGAGAATTACAAAACATTTTTATTGTAATGACAATCCATGTGATAAAAACATGTCAAACAATGATTTCTACTATTCTGAACATCAATGTATTTCAACAATAATGGAATTTCCAAGCACATACTTCTTTCTCATATTTTCTTTTCATCTGGCCTTTAGTTATATAAACCCACCAACACTGATCAAGGTAGGGATCTGGTACAAATAAATAAACTACAACCTAAATAAGTACTAATAAACATTTGGATAGCTTCGTAAAATCAACAACAGAAAACAAGTGTTTACAAAAAAATCCTAGATATACCATTCTTTTATATTTTCAATAGTTGTGATCACGAATCAATTGAAGCTAGATCATCATAAAAAACATGCAAGCCCTGGATGGCCGTTTCGTCCTATTGTGGGACTCATCGGCAGTACGCATACACGACCCCGCTCCGCGAAATTCGAACCCAGGACTTATCAGTCGCATATGTGAACGCTTAACCACTAACCTCCTGAGCTGGCATCCAACGGTGTTAATGTCTAACTTCAACTAATCCACGAAATT